TCTAGCCACTTACTGCAACACTAGTTCTAGTTTTGGTTACAGTTTTAGTTTATTTCCTTGGTACAGAAATCAGCCATACTAGCTTATGCTTACCAAAAATATCCCAATGTCTCCATGCTCAATTCTTCTGTTACCCAAGCCAATTCAAGCGGCACACCACAAAAAGCAATGCAGCAATTTCGTATTTCAGCTACGCTGGAATTCAAGAATAGATACTGTCAAGTCCTGGCAATTTCCACAATTCAGTTTTATCAATCTGTTCTAGGAGCTTTTTCAGTGAGAGGTTTTTAACAAGTTTTCTGCACTTCTGCTAAAGATATGGACAATCTTATGTCCTGCCCCTGCCCCCTTGCTGTGTGTTGGTACTGGCTTTCATAGGGCTGTGTAGTCAGGGAAGGGACCTGCCTAAGCAGAAAATAAACACTACCCCCTCTCCAAATCAGATGGTTTTGCCAAATAGGGTGGCTGGTCCGTCTGTGTGTAACTGTAGGACCACTTCTGCAGTTGGCAGGTGTGGGGCATAGCAGAAGGATGCAGCAAAACTGATTGAGACCAGTCTAGGCTAATTGTGAAACGGCATCCTGATACTTGAGCCTGAGGCAGTTTGCTGTCATTATCATTTTACTCATTTATGTGCATGAGAGATTTCCACAAAAACCCATGCCAGCATAAGATTTAATGATACTGTTGAGAAAGGAGATGAAGTGATGGTCTCTGAGGGTTTAGGAAGCCTCTCTCACCAGCAACATGACATATAGAGAATGGCTCCTTTTGCCATCATGGGTACAAAAGAAATACATTTATTGAAGAGCTGAGACAAGTGGGAGCTCTACCCATCCAACTACCAGTTCAAGCAAGATCAGATGAGACATTTTGAATGGGATTTTTCTTTTCTCAGCATCTTCCTGAAATCCAGAATAAGAACTGAAATTCATCTTAGCAGAGCTTTCAGGGGTTACGTGGATACAGAGAATAGGCATTCAAGCAAAAGTCTCATTCTACTTTGTAAATGTTTCTGTGATTTCAGTTGCAAAAAGAAACACTACTCTTCCCACCTGCCTACAAAGGGGTTCTGCATTAGGACTATCTGTAAATATCAGTTAATCTCTCATTTCTTCTTCTTATAGGTGTATATATATATATATACACCTTTCCTTTAAATCACATATGCAAACATTTATACTTCTGATGTATGTAAACAGAAGTGTGAGTGATGCTTGCAGAGAGGGAAGACTCGAGTATACTAATAAAACTTCTTTGATGGACAACAATGGGAGTACACGAGAATATAAGGGGTTTTCACTGGCAAAACAAGACCATATACAGGTGGGCTGTAGCATATCTCAGCCAGATGGAGTGTTGTAGATCATCTTAAATGTGCAGAAACACACAAAAAAGTTTTAATGGAGCCTCATATTCCTCTGCACACTGAGCTCTTCTCATCTATTAGGGTTGTCAAAATAAGGCCCTGATGAAGCTCAGCTGCCCACAGTTGGGCTGAGTCCATTGGGCTTGCAGGATACTAGAAAGTCATAGTTCAGTAGAAAGAAGGTTCATGAGAAAGCTCATCAGATCTACTGCTGCTAATGTTCTTAACTTGGGAAAGCACTAAATGAAGCGGGACTTGGTCAGAAGTAAATATTTAATTTCTGTATCCTGCCTTGTTATTCCCACGGTACACCCAGAGATCTGTGTTATGATTTTTGTCCGTAGTGCGGGAAGAATGGTGTTCCTGAGCTGAGGGAACAACGGACAACATTGCTCAAATTCCACATTCCTATCAGGTCTAGGGAGGAAAAGTCCCATAATCTGCTTTCTCAGTTTTGTTAATGCTCTTTCATCTTCGAATACATTGCTAAATTTCTTAAATTGTGAAAATACATTCAACAGTTATGATTCAAAAACATTTTGCATTTTTTGGGAGGGGGAGGGCAAACTTGGACTTTTGTGATGGTACAGACAGATGGTGTCCTTTAAGAATCTGGTGAGATTATACAGCTTAGAAAATCTATTACTTTAAGTATCTAAAAGAATACACAGTTGCTGAGGTTTTGAAACTGCTCTGTCCTAATATCACAACATTCTTGCAGTGAAGGTTGATCCAGTTTACGGTCGTGTAGTAGGCATCCAGATAAACACTAAAAGTGTAGACTATTGGTTTTACAAACAAGGTAAGAAGAAGGACTCTATGGCAATTTGAGCAATGGAGAAACAATTTTGCGTATAGAATCCTGAATCACTGACATTTTACGTTTCCTCTCAGGAATATTCCACTAAAATCTCCTAAAGTAATCCCTAAAACCACATGGTATTTTTAAATGAATACATGAATAAAATAAAAAAAATCTGTATTTCTGTAACACCTAGGAATTCCAGTCATGAATGATAAGCCAATCATAATAGAAATTACTCTAAATATGAAGCAATATGACAACGTTCTTGGTCACAAAGATTTTGCAATTTCGTTATTAGGAAAAAGAGAGGTAGATGCAGAGGGAGAAAGAGATGGTATTTATGAAGATGCGGCTACTGTAATGAGTGTAAATCCCAGAATCTCTGCAACTAAACTCTGGCCATGATAAGCCTATCCCGACAGATAGTTTTGGAGAGTGACTGAAAGAAGGATAAAATTTAAAATGGCCTACCTTACAAGTTTGTAAAGGATAATTCAGACTTCAAGACTAGTGAGAAAGAAAGCATTTTGAAGCTTGAGTTGAAACTCAGATACACAAAGTATTATGGAAGAATTATCTGAGCAAAAATAGGAACCAGCTTCCTTGAAAACCAGGAGAGGGAACAAAGAGCTTCTCCAATGCCTGAAACCAATCTTTCATTAATAAAGCTATGAGATGAGAAAAGTCCAAATAAGTTTTAATTGTTCAAAAAGACTGAACTATTTTAGGGATAACTGAGGGGAAGAATCATCCAGTTTTACACACTGCATGGATATTAGGACCCTGAGAAGACCAAAGGTAATACATGAATGAAGAGCTAGTTAGTCATCTAAGTCAGGATAACTTCCAAGAAACACATACAGCTGTGGTTTGTTTATGCTAGGAGACAGAGGACATTATCAATGAGGTGGATAGGTCAACTGGCCAAGATTTTAGTTTGGATAGAAAACATATCTGGAATGAAGAGGAAAATGTCTTATTCCATCCATGCACATTCAGTTAGCAACTAAATGTTTCTCATCTAAACTAGATGCAAAGCTTTATAAATGTAACCTCTATATACACCTAAAGGTGTTGAGACAAAAGAGGTTAGTGTGTCCATCAGGTCTCTTTCCACTGAGCTATGATCCTGATGTATTCAATAGCCACACCTGCCTGACCATCATTGCACTATGAACCAGACTTAAAAAGGAAAGGGTAGAACCTGGGAGAGGAACTCGGAGAGGGTGTGCAGGAATTGCCTACTATTAATTGATCCTGATTTGGAAACCTACAAGGCAGTCTTGAACTGACATGAGAGACTTCAGCATCTTGTGGTTTAGGTCAGGCTGGGCTAAATGCAAACATTAATTATTATGCAATAATTGGATATGTGGGAAGGAATGTGGCTATTTATCACCTCTATTAAAGGGTGATTAATAATGCAGAGCACACTACGAAGTTACAGAACAGTGGCTATCTCTACTTCCCCTTTCCTTGCTGACAGGACCAGCAGTTGTCAGTAATCAGGAGAAGTAACATTAATTGTGCTGGTTCCGGCTACACAAGCTTGGTCCCAGATGTCTCCGTTACTGCCCTTCAGATTGAGGTAGATGAGTTTTATGAGGTAGAGAGCACCATTCTGTTTGGCTGATCTTTACTGGCTGGTGGTCTATTCTAAAGCATTGCTTGATGATGGGTATAACAAGTCACTGGGCAAGTATTCTTGTGTTAGGTTAGTTCTGCTACTTCTACCAATCATGTTTCTCAATAACGCTTACCTGATTTACCTGACAAAAGATACATCTCTGACAACTACATAGCAAGATAATGAAGATTGAACTGTGAGTTTCTGATATCAGTGTGGCTATTTGAAAGACAGCAGCTCACTGGAGGCAGCTGAAGACTGTAAGGGCCTTTGCCTATGACTTGGGAGACAGAACCTGCTGTTCTGGCCTAAATAATCCTCACCCACCTTCTGCCCCCTCTTTGTTCTGTAACAGAAGACACCCCAGCATTGTCTTCTTTTCAGCAGAGAATAATTAGAGGCTACAGCAAAGCCACAAGGAGGGTTTTTTCTAGGTAGAATTGACTTGATAGAGGAAGACAGCTATAAGGTGGGAAGGAGACAGTTGTGGAGACTTTGGACAAAAGTTGCAAACTTCCAAGAACATGAGGATCCAGCCCTGT